TGGTGTGTGTGTGTGTGTGTGTGTGTGTGTGTGTGTGTGAGAGAGAGAGAGAGAGAACACAGAATTCTATAGAACTTTCATTCAAAATGGTGTAGTGTTCAGTTCTGTTGCAATTGCCTTTTCTCCACTGTAACTGCCCTTACTAAATAACTTTTATGGGAATCGGTGGACTAACCAGGAAAAAACAGCTTGTCTAAACTGGCTGTAAGGAAGTTTCTGATCAGCTGCCCAGTTTGCAGAAGTGATGAGCAACGGTCTTGAAACTAGATGAACCATTCATTGGGATTCAGTTTTCATGCAACCTTGTGCAAATGAATTCTTTGAGTCCATTGACATGAGCAGCACTTGTGGGTGTTTGTCTTATAAATCAATTAGGCCTGAAATAATGTTTTATATCAGCTTAAAACATCTGATGAGACCAGTTGATTCTCTCACAGAGCAAATGAGGAGAGTTTTATGTTCAGTCTAGTTTTAAATTCAGCCATGTCACTGTTTATCCCATTCATTTTGTGGCCACATGTCACACTTCAGGTGCAGCACTGACAATATAGGTCTTAAGTCATTACATGAAACCAGTGCCTCACCTTAGCATTCGTGTCTGTAGTTGGATCCTGTGAGATTAGTAGTCTTGCCTATTACAGATGAAATAACTTCAGGGTTAACGGATTGGCATCAGCAATATTGTGCTCAGAGATCCTGCTGATCTGCAGCAATCATACCTTTGAAAATTCATGTCTTGTCAGTATGCCTGTTACATGCCATCCCGGTCTGGTTACCTGCTGATTAGCAGCCATATAAGTTGGGAAAGTGGATGTAGCAATTGCATCCTCACTCTAAGATCTTGTACACCAGCCTTGGGAATTTACTATCTGAGACAACTGATCACCATTAACTTGATTCTGCTTTTTAATTTCCCGGGACAGATTTTGCTAAAAGAAATGATATTTTACCAGTCTTTTCACTTCCCATTTCTTAAGTTTCTGAATCTTTCACATGTTTTGTAAATATATTACCTTGAAGTTTAGTCAGTAAGACGACTGATGCTTAATGCAACAATACTTCATTTTCAATACCATGAAGAAAATTCACAATGCAAACATGAAGTGGAAAAAAACCCTGTGAATCTCTGGCATATGCCTTCAGGAATCTATTTTCTTTAAATTGTTCCCTAGAATTTTATGTCCTGGTCCTGCTGTCATATTAATCTGTTCTTTGGCTGTGGTGTTGACCCCCAGCTGGCCATAGTGAGTCAGCACTGACCCCATTGCCAAACATGGAGCAAGCACAGAGGCATCGTCAGCAGGATTTCATTAAAATTGGATTTTTATTAATTTTTTCTTTCTCCCTGCCAGCTCCCTTTCCAGCGATAGAGGAAAATAGACTTCTGTGCAGTTTACAGCTACTATAAATGCCTGCTTTCTAGTCTAGGCATATGTTGTAGTTGAAAGTCTGTGTGTAAATTATTCAGAAGGTCTCTGTTAATACTGACACTGTTCATGTGCTCTTTCATGTTTAAGTATAACTTCTCTCGGTAACTGAGAACCTTCACTGATCTTTGAGTGAGGCTAGAGCATATATCTCACTTAAATGAAATTTATGTTAAAGTTCAGACTAAGGTGAAATGGGCATAAATGGCTTTGCATCTTAAAACCAAATAGCTTCCAAAGGGAATTGGGCTGAAGTCAGGACTGCAATATTGGGCCCTGTACTCAGATAACCTTTACTGGCCACTTATCAGCCTATTATCATCAGTGCCTATTTCCACTGCAAGGTTATTTTTAATTGAGTGTGGATAAACCAGTTCAGATGTTATGCCCTTTTTCCTCTCTTCTCCTGGTTTACACAAAACTAGATCCAGGTGTTCTCTGAAACTAAAATATATCGTGGTCCCCCCTCCCCCCCATCTTCTTAGTTTCCATATTCGTTGTGCACTTCTGCCCTTCCAAGTTCCAACTCTGGAAATACCTGAAACTCTCAAAAGACAGTTTTCTTGGGAGACTTGCAAAGGCTAAAGTTGTGGATCCAAGAGGTTCAGATTTGTATCTGAACTGACTGAGGTTTGCCCATCAGGACTTTGCATGCACAGACCTTGTATCTCACTTGGAAACCTTTTGAGGGATGAAGGTCCCATTGATGCATAATCCTAATTTTAACTACAAGAGGACCACAAAGACTAAGGTGCTCTAAAAGCCTATAGCAACATATTCTTCCTTTTGTCATTGCTAAAGAACATCAGTACAAATTATTTTCCAAGACTAGAAGCCTCGGGCCGATTGAGCTTCTGTATGAAATATGAATAAAGGCACCTCTCATTATTACATTATAAAGATGCATATTCATATCCCACTATCCAAATGATGATGACATGTGGCACTGGCAAAACATCAAATCAGAGGCTTCTGTCTCTCCTCTACATCTTCAGATGTACTTGGAATAATGTATACAACGTGGCGTTTGAGTAGCTAGATTTTTAGCATGACATTTTTATCAGTAATTTTTTATGCAAATGTTTCTCTTTACAAAACACTCAAAGCACTTCCCCTCTGAACTTTACAGTGCATCTCTTCCCTAGAGCCCATTCCTTTCTCACACCATCCTTTCCTACTGGATCCAGCAACAGGACCTCAGCAAGCAGTGTTGTGTTGTTGGTCACTCAGCAGATAGTACAAAGGGACTGATTGTGGGCCTCAAACTCAAACTATGGGAGTGAAAACTTTAAGGAAAATACATCTATATGGTAATTATCCAATGCGGTACAGCCCTCCTCGGTTATGTTAAGGGAATCAACTGGTCTTTTATTAGTTTTTTGGTATTTTAAAAACAACAAACTGTCAACCTCAAGTTGTTTATTTAAATATGGATCTCGGGCTGATGCAGAGAAGTGACAGGCAATGCCCACTGAAGCCAATGGGAGGAAGCCACTGATTTACACAGGGCTGCATGAGATTTGTGAATCCCCAGTGACTGGTTTCATTTAGTTTTGAGGCTATAGCTCAAAACTTTTGAAAACCAAGCGGATACCAAAATTTACCATGCAACTAATTTAGAGAAATAGGTGGTTGTTGGTTTTTTTCCCCCTCACAGGTTAGTCCATTGGCTTCTACTAAAAGGATCTTAGTGAGGCCAAAATTACATTATGGAAAAAGCACTCCAAATCAGAGCTGAATAATAACCCAGTTTGATTCCAGAAGTATTCTGAGAACCCCAATTTCATAAGTGCACATGCTTTGTCCTTGTTCTGTGGTAGGATGTTTTTGTCACCATTAGAACATGGATAATGGGTAGCGGTTTAAAACCAGTTTCAGTAAGGAACTTCTACCTTTTTGCCTTTTATTTTGAAGGGTACTTTGGCCCTCTTGAAGTAATGTTTGTGATCTGTAGAATGACATCAATTTGTTTTAAAGATAAAAGCACTGTTTGATTTCCCCACCCACCCCAGTGAATAAAATCTCTACACACCTAGGGCCTAGTCTATACTTGGGTTTTGTCCCAGTTTCAGCAGTCAGTGGCAAACCACTGGTGTGCAGAAACCTGGTGTAGATAGCTATAGGCAAGGGTTTGCACTCGTGCAGCCTTTTCCAGTTTCATTAGTGCAGATATATTGGAGGCTGAAACTGAGGCAAATATTCCATATTGAGAAGGCGTACATAAAATCTGTGAGCATCTAGCATGTTTGTCTTTGGGTACAACAAGCTCATCCTTCTCAGAACATACAAAACCATGCTGCTATGTGACTGCTCAATGATCTCTCTTGCAGGTGATGAAGACTTACCACATGTACAATGCGGACAGCATCAGTGCTCAGAGCAAGCTGAAAGAGGCAGAAAAACAGGAAGAGAAACAGATTGGGAAGTCGGTGAAGCAAGAGGACAAACAGACCCCACGCTCCCCTGACTCAACTTCCAACGTTAGGTTTGAAGAGAAACATGTCCGACGGAGCTCAGTCAAGAAAATAGAGAAAATGAAGGAGAAGGTAAATGAGCAGTGACACTGAGGAAATAAATGGTGATGGAAGGAGAGCTTTGCAATTATTCACCAGAGTGACTGCTGAGAAGTTTCCTGTTAGTGATGCTTACATTCAAAACACTACATTATAATGCAGGGTTAAGGATGCAGTGTTAGGAAATGCAAAGGTGAGCATTGTCATTAACTTGGCTGGATAGCCCAGCAGCCAAATTTTGTAATTATCTTCAGTATGCATAGATGTTGAAGAGCCAAAGCCTCTTTACTTGGAGAGAGGTGAGGCTAGAAGGTAAGCAATATCTTCCTTAAAGTTGCTCTTGGGCAGGTTATTGCCTTCTCTTCAACGTTAATGGGGTAGTAAGATATGGGGCCAGATCATTAGCAACTGATGTTGCAGCAGCTGAGGGTCTGGCTCATGGTATCTGGAGGCGCGCAAGCAAACATGGGCAAATGTTAATCCCTACCTCTTTCCTTAAGCAGATCCACATACTTTAACAATCAAATACTTTAACATCCTTTGTAGCCCCTTTGCAATGATGGCCTGCAATGTTGTCTGCCTGAAGAGCAGAACAGGCCCTACTTGCCTGTCTGGAGGTCGACTGAAATGACATCTTGTTTTTAAGTCGCCTTATAACGTTGTAAGACCATCTAACATTTCACGCCCTCCACTCACTCTTCGTTTGTGGGTTGTCTGCAGGTAAAGCCCTAAATGCAGGGTTGTCTGATTAACAATCTGAGTTGATCTAAATTAAGCCTTGGAATTTTGTGAGATGAAATTAGTTCCCAAATGAAGGTAAATGAGCATTGAGATGAGGTGTAATTGTTCTGAGGGCACAGTTTGTTCTGCCACCAAGAAGTTTTTTTTCTTTTTTTTGAATGAACTCTTTTGTTTCTTTTCAGCGCCAAGCAAAATATACTGAAAATAAACTGAAGGCCATTAAGGCAAGAAATGAGTATCTGTTGGCTCTGGAAGCCACCAATGCATCTGTGTTCAAGTATTACATCCACGACCTGTCTGATCTCATTGATGTAAGTGCGCTGCTACTTGGGTGAATGTCGTTCCCATTAACCCCACTGTGTGCATCTCCTTCTTTAACCCCTTTTGTGCTAGCATCCTTTGTAGCCCCTTTGCAATGATGGCCTGCAATGTTGTCTTCCTGAAGAGCAGAACAGGCCCTGATCACTGTACGTTGGGGAAATGTACCAGGTACAATAGTCAGTAGTAAAAGGGTTAAGGAAGCTTTTCTTAAACAGTTGCTTGGCAAAGGGAGTGTTAAAAAGAAGGGAAGTTTGTACAATGGGCACAGAATACAGAAATCTTTATAAAGAGGGAATGCTTCATTTGTTTGTTTTTATACGTACTATTTTAAGCAAATCCCCAAGATTATAATTGAAAGATGGGTTTTTGTAAAAAAGGAAAATGTGTTTGTAAAACTATAAAACAATTGGCAGAAGGACTCAAAGGCAGATGTAGCTCCCAAAACTGCTTTTAACTTTTTTTTAATTGTCTAACTTTCAAATGTATGGTGTCTCTTTATAGAATGTTCAGTGAGATATGTAGAGAGCCATGCTCCTGTATCCAGGACCTCCCGCTGATTCAAATCCACACAGGTCTCCAGTGACGTAACGTGTTTCCAACTGCTGCTATTTGAACTGCATAATATAAGATTTGTGTTAGGCCAGTTCACAGTGGCAAGGTGTGTGTATCACCAACAGTCCCACTAATTCCCCCACCCCTAGCTCAATGGTAGTCTCAGCAAAGGGGGAAGAAAGAAATGGTCTATGGAAAGAGAACTCTCCTGTTCCCTAGAAGAGTCCCATCAAGCTTAGGGTTGGGGCAAATTACCATAAAGCAGTATGTATGGCTAGTTGCCCTGCATCTGCCTATGTGGTACACATTCTGCGGCTAAACAGAAGACCTCAGTTTCCTGGAGTGGCAATTTAGCATGTTTCTCTTAGCGCTAAATTTTGTTTTATTAAAGGTATACACTGAATAAGTAACAGCTACTTTTATCATCTCTACCTTAACATTCACGCTTGTTGGAAACCTCAGAAAAGCCACTTCGGGAGTCTGAGATGATCCAGGGCTTGTCTTCCCATATGGCGCTACAGTGGTGCAGCTGCAGCAAAGATGCTCTTATGCCGATGGGGGAGCTGCTCCTGTCAGTGTAATTAATCTACGGAGAGGCAGTAGCTGTGTCAGTGCTATCTACGAAGGGGGGGAGGGGAGGTTAGGTCGATATAACTACCTCGCTCGGGTGCGGATTTTTCACCCGAGTGATGTAGTAAGGTAATGTAAAACTGGTCCCAGTCTTTCAGAGCTAGTGTTGATAATGTTTTCCTCTAGTGTGAGTGCCCCGCCCCACCTCACAGGCATGAGCTGCATTGAATTAGTTCTGCTCATCCAGTCATTGATTGCTATTGGATCCCACTTTGTTCCATTTCTTGATGACAACCCTAATATTTCCCTGTAATTGAGGTTAAAGCCATCTTTGCTGAGCCATGGGGGAAGTTGTTTGGAGGAAGCTATGTGGGTGGGTGCAGCGGGTGAGGTGGGGATTTGAACAAGAGAATTAATTCCTCATCTCTGATCACTCTCCACTGGTCATTATTCAGCCAGTTGTAAAGTCAGACTAGCCATGCTCAGTGTGTTGCAAGGTTCAAGTATTTGAGATTCTTATTGCTCTTTCCTCTGCAGATCAAGACTCTCTATACTAAGACCTTTTAAAATCTTTTTTTATTTGGAGGTGCAGCTGTAACTATTAAAAGGAGGGCTGTCGTGCTGTGTGATGCATCATGGCAATGCTGTTGTATCGGTGGGACATCCAACATTTCCACTATAACCCCTGTCTTTTGAGGGATTTGTACCTGACATATTTAAAAAAAAAAAAATTGACTTGGATTTGTATTACAGCTTCTTGACTTTATAGAAAATTACTACTTTCTGGGTGTTCTAAAGGAGGTTAAGGGAGTTGGACACCCAGTTCCCATTGAAGTCCAATGGGATTTGAACACCTAATATTCTCAAATTCCTTTTGAAACTTCCAGTTCTAGTTTATAACAAATTATTGTAAAGCACTCAGCCAACAGACTGCTAGTTCTTAATATGCTTCCTATGAGGTATGTGTAGTGAAAAATCTCACAGAATCCACTTAGATTTCCTTGATAAATCCTTAACTCTCCTTTAAACACCAAGGAGATCCCAAGGAGTTTATAGCGGTTTAGCCGGCAGGACTTGTCTGGCTGCTCTGCTGGTACAGCTGTCTCCAGACTATACACAGGTGCAAGGAAGAACAAAAGTTTCAGAAATGCTTAATTCTTTTTTACCGTTCCTTGACAGACCACAGTAGGTCACATGGCTACAGTTCTGGCCATGTTCATGCACAATGACATAGTTAACCCTTTAGCCACTTGATTAACTGTGCAAAGTGCATACTTAAGAGTGTATAGAGCATTTATCTGTAGATCTCTTCCCCCCCCCCCCCACGTGCATTACAAGGACTGGTAAGCACTGTCAGCTCAATTTTTTTCAGAGGGGGAAACAGTCACACAGGTAAAGGGACTTGATGGTTCACTCAGTGAATCAGTGACAAAGCTGGAAATAGAGCTAAGTGTACTCCCAGTCTAACAATGACACTTGTAAATGGCAACTATTAATAAGACACTTAAACCTACCAATGGTAAAACCCTGTTGAGGTATAATTGAGGGTCTGATTTAAATACAAACAGGATCTGAAAACCAACCCTGAAACACCTACAGTATCCTCAATGGAAATAGTGGTGAGTTAAGAACAGTGTGTTGTCCCAGACATTCGTCACTGGTTCTGTTTCCCGACTCTGGTGACTGAGGCAGATCCTTGTGTTAATGAAATTATTGCACTAATAGAAAAATTGATCTTAAGAGAGAAGTCCGTTTTGAGCCACCTTTGAGACCCTTCTGCAATCTGTATTTTCTCTCAAAAAAGCCAGTGGACCACTAAGGCTGAAAAAGGAATGAAGTCAGGGGATGTGTGAGTGAGTGTGTCTGGCACTCTGCTTTTAGGGTGCCTTTGCAATCCTGGGAATAAACAGATTTCTGCTGTCCCAACAAGAGCTCAAGCTTTCCTTTTCCCTTTCCTTTTCCCTTGCATCCCACCCCAAAATAACACAAGCTCCCTCCATTCCCCCCCCCCGCCCAAAAAAGAAACAGAAACTTGAGTTTTAAAACAGTTATTTTCCTCTACTTTGTATTCTGGGTTTGTTTAAAGGCTACTTGCTGGCAAAGGGTTAATCAGCTGTCATGTTGAGAAATGAATTTGGATGAGCTATCATTAAATTCTTATAAAAAATTGATTTCCTTGGAGAATGTTTCCATCAAACATTTATGTAACCCAGAAAAGGCCAGTGAGACTGACACACTTATAAATATGATATGCTGGACCCTCTAAAATGTTAGTGACAGAGAGGACTGAAAATGTTCTCAGCCACCAGCTTCTATAAAGGAAAGCTGAAAGAAGTTGCTGTCTTAATCTAATCTTCCTGGTTTCTCCTGGAGGTGGGCTATGAAATATTAAATCTTATTTTACTCTCCTATCTCATGAATGAATCCTTTTGACATAAGCTCAGCCGTCCTCTCAGATGCACATGTACCTTGGTGTAGTTTGAGAAATGGGCACCAGCACTGGAGATGAACTTGTCAGTTGTCTAGGCTCTGTGGTAGATTGACCCACATTTTAAGCAAAATGAGCATTAGTCTCTGTAAACAGTCTGAGCAGATCCTCCCCATTGGACTGTTGGTCCAACTGAATCTGACTTCTCTCAAATTTTGCTGCATGGGACATGGAATTTTAATGTGCCTGTGGAGCAGCAATAGCTTGAATGGCTCTTTACCAGAGAATGTCCCCGCACGTGCAAATGCTCCATCAAGCAGCTTTTGTTTTTGTTCTTGGGGTTTTTGTTCTTCCTGATTGAATTTAATGTCCTTTAATTCTGTCTCCAGTTAAGCCAGCGACTGTTGTTCCTTTACAAGAGCGCCACACCTGCTAAAGTCCATTGGCACAATACCCGGGCATGTAGTAGCATTCTGTGGCAGAAGTCTTGTAAAAAGCAGGGGAGGGGCAGGGTCTGGGTGTCTTTCTCTTTTTGAAGGCATTTACTTACAATAGGACAGTGATGAGACCCAAATGATGGGGGAGGAGGAGGAGATGCTGTGATTTTTGCTTACAGAGCAGCATAGCAATCAAGCAGATGGGCTCTTTCTTCTTGGATATTCTCCTCGCATATTTAATTTCACTTGCAGTTCCTGGAAGATGGACATTTCTCTAGCTCTATTTATTACATATCTGTAAAATTCAGGCTTTCTGATCAAGTAATGAAAAGAGCTTCTCTTCCTTATGAAATATTAAGAGTTGGCTGTGGAAGCTGGGTGCAGATGAGCCTGCCTGATTGATTGGCTTCCAGTGATGTCATGCTAATGTTAGTAATAGCCAGTAAAAGCTTGACTGTGATCTTTTTACCTGAAGGTTTTTTGTTCACTTTGTCTCACCCTAGCAATGAAACCATCCCAGCCATGCATTTTGAGGGCCACTGTTGCCCTTCTAGCATGGCAGAAGTCATTTGGCCTTTGTCTCATAGTTACCCAGGGTAAGCTATGACGGCCAGAAATGCGACAAATTGATCCTCTGAGCCAGGTGCCATTTAGATGTGTTAATACCCTCTCATTTGCCCAGGTAGTGATTTGAGCAGCTAAATGCAAAATTTAGACATCCTCTGTCTATGAAAACTGGGCTTCCTGGTATTTTTAGGAATGCCTCTGTGGAAAGCATATTAAGATGAGCCCCTGAAAATAATATTTGTAATGTGTGTCCTGATCTGTTGTCTGCATGCTCAACTGACACCAGCTTATCGCTCCTCCAAGATCAATGTGAAAAATAGTGCTCAGTAGGTTTAGAATACTTGCATAGAGTGCCCTTGTCCAAGGATTTCAGAGTGCTTCCAGTAGCAGCCAATTGCCTCTGTGAGCTCGGTAAGGGATATATAGGAATCCACTATTGAAATCATCCATTTCTGGGGTGGAATGTCGCAGGCTTTTAACAGCACACAGCGACACTCCAGCACAATTTAGAACAGTCAACGAGGACGAATGTATCCAGTTGAAACTGTAGGGGGATGTTAGGGAGGCAGTTTGTAATACCAGAGTTGGAATTTGACTGTCTTGTGTTTAACAGCCCTCTTCTTACACAATGGATCATGAGATCTCTGAGAACAAGTGGTCAAGACCTCTGCTTTGGGGTGAGATGACAGTGTCCATCATAAGAGTACCACTTAGTACCCATGATTTGCTTTCTGCTACGCTTGTCCTTACCCAGGGACCATTCAGTTTTAGCCTTTTTATTCACATAGCCTGGTGTCTGTTTTCCAGCAGTGCTGTGATCTGGGATACCATGCCAGCCTCAACAGAGCCCTCAGGACTTTCCTGTCTGCAGAGCTGAACCTGGAACAGTCGAAGCATGAGGGCCTGGATGCCATTGAGAATGCAGTGGAGAACTTGGATGCCAACAGTGACAAGCAGCGCCTCATGGAGATGTACAACAACGTCTTCTGCCCGCCCATGAAGTTTGAGTTTCAGCCCCACATGGGTGACATGGTCAGTTTATCTCCCTCTGCTCCAGCTCTGTAAACATACACAGAAATCTCCATCCCATTGAATTATATTGAAAGGATTAGATCTGTAGTAAAACAAAACTTCCCTGCTGTTAGGGCTCAGGGGCGTGTACTCTGGGTCACGGGGCTGGAGTTAGTGTGGAAGAATGGCCTTGAGACTGTATTGTTACCTACCTAGCCAACACTGTCCTGTAAGTGACATGGACTGTAACCTCTCTGTGGAGTCTTGTATATAGGTGGGAGGGAAAACTGCTACTCAGGATGAGATGTGGACAATGCAACTTCCATAAGCAGCTTCTTCAGCTATCCATACACTGCGCTTACGGCAGCCTCCTCAAAAAGGCCACCTGTTTGATTCCCACTTGGGAGTTGAGGGGGAGGCCTTGGAAAAGGGACACAGTAGGAAAATATAAGCCGTGGCATGGATTTCTGTAGCCTGCAATTGACTCATTTTGAGTAAGAAACCAACTGAAGAGGAAAGCAGCCAAATAGCTGTGATCCTAAAGATGGAGAAACACCATTGTTCTCTTCCCATCCATGCATCTTCTACCAGACAAGGACTCTCAAATTAGAAGACTGAAGTAACATCTGAAGGATTTAATCATCCCATACAGAGCCCAGCTCTGCTTCTGCAGCCACATTGCCCTCAGCTGTTTGCACAGACACACCACTGGTGCTTTCCAGTTACATAGGTTTTTGGAGGGTGCAACAAGAGAGGGCAGAGATATCAACTTGAAATATCAACTTGATCACTTTCTCTCCCCTCTGACACCCCATTTCTAAGACTGAATTGCAGAGCTCTTGCTTGCTAATACTCCAGTGGAAGAATATTGTACCCTTATATGGAGCCCCTTTTTATTAGAGGAGCTAATTGGAAGAAAATCTACGCTGCAGAAAGTAGCCAGTATTCAGAGTCATTAACCTTTGCTACCTAAACTGATTCCTAGAGCCCTGCCACTGTCTGAAGAAAAATAGAAAGACAAGCAATTTAATATGTAGTTTTATGACGCATTTGATTGTGTAGTCCTGGAGCACAAATGGTTTGTGGTGCTTCACACATTTTATGGTGACACAAGGGCAGTCGAAGGATTTTCATTTTTGGCAATGAAAATGTATTGCTCGGCAGCTTTATCGGTTGTGTCTGCATATCTGGGAGCCATGTTTGGGAGCCAACTGAAGCCAGCTCACAAATCTAAATGGCATTTGCATGCAGTGTAACAACTTAGGTCAGTTGGCTGGATGTCTGGATTATCCTAGCGAACATGAGGAAAGGCTAGAGAGATGCTTCCTGATGGCCAGTGTGCT